TGAAAATGCCGGGGATGGTTCCGAAATTGAGCCATTTGGGGGTGCCTCCAATAAGGATTATGGTATGTTCGCGGTCCATGTTGGGATCCTTGTTTAGGGAGGCTACCAAATCTTGCTCCGTAAATTTGGCATATTGAATAATTTGAGTCGTTGGGGTGAACGCTGCGAGCTTCTAGTTGCAATGGTTCACAGTAAACCCAGCACTAAGTGTTGGTGTCAGCTCCCCGGAGTTGTGCAGCCTGCCCACATTCCCTGCCGTAGTACTGGTCAAAGAGTGCCTTTGAACCCATGCGTGATGTGACCAGGAGGCAACGATTCCCCATCCAAAAGATCGGACAGCTCTCGCAAGAGGACTGTGCTTTTGCAAGTGCCTCCAGGCATGAAGCAGCTTTACGTTACTTCTTGAGTGAACCCAGGAATGCGGCCCTAGTTCAGAAGTACCTCCGCCTCTTGCTATTTCCTGTGGAGTCCTGCGGCCTCTACACAACCAACTATTCACGCGAGAATCTGGCTCAAGATATGATCTGGATGATCTGGAATGACCTGCATGTCACCAGTTCAGAACGGTAAGAATCTCTTCTTTGATCCTTCAGACGCGGTGCAATTGCAGAACGTCAGGATCAGAAGCTGGAAGCCCTGAAATGTCTAGGAGCATAGTCGTAGCCACTGCATTATGTGTTTTGCAATGTAGCGGAAAAGGCATACTCAGAATGCACGCACGGCTTTTGCAAGGCCAGGCTCCTCATTCTCCCCCAAAAAAGACCCCGAGCTAAACTGAATCTCTTTTGGTCCAAGCTGCGGAATCTGCAGGGCTGCATACAAGCAGACTGAAGCCCTTTCGTTCGGGGACGGCAGCAGCGATCTCAGAGAGTTTCTTGCGTTTCTTATCTGTCTTCATCCACCCGTATGATGTTCTGCAGGGTTGCAAATGCTCGTGTGCAGTGTATACAAATGATTGGATTGAAGATCCAGACCTGACATGGCATGTCCAGGCATTGCATGGCGCTTGCGAGTCAGTGGCAGGAATCCGGGCCTAGCATGCGCACTGATGATGCAACGCAAGGCAAAGCAAATTTGCCCCTAAGCATACTGCTACGGCAAGGCTGTTTGAAAATTTGCGCTTGACATTGCCACGGGTTGCCAGCTCAAACATTTGTAGGGTTTTCATTTCCCCCACCATTGAGGTTGGTCGGGGCCGTCCTCAGAGAGACCCGTAATTTGGTGTTTGCAGAGGGCTTTGAGAGCTTTCACCCTTCCCCTTGGCAATCTGTAAGGTGCACTGCAACCTCCAAAGAAAAAGAAGACGCATCTGAGACCAAACATGGGGGTTTCCCAAATTTGGGGGTACCCTTTTGGGGCCCCCAATGATACGGACTATTATATTTTGGGCCTCTATATTGGGTTCCCCTTATTTAGGGAAACTACCACATGGATGGGAGGGAGGCTTGGGGTCTGAGGTCATCGCTGGGTGGATGCAGCGAGCTGAGAAGCGGGAGACAGGTTTAGAGTCTTGGGACTTGCATTTTCCAGGACTTGTGCTACCAATGCTTAAGACCGGGAATTGCATCACTGTATCGATACCATGCGCCGTATCTTTGACTTGATCTTCTGCAGATGCCCCTGTGGAAAGATTTGCCAGGACATCCTACATGCCAGTCTGGCAACCTGTTCTCGTGCTTACTCCATGCTTCCTACATTTCTTGAATTCAAGTTCGTCACTAGCTGGGGCAGCCCGCTGCGCCACACTAGCTGACTGGGACGACAAGCAGACCAGCAGCAACAGTCGCGCTAGTAAAGTGCTGTCTGCACAAGGCCAACTTCTACATCCAAGTCGAGCACTGTGGTGGGATTCTGGGTTGGCATGGACGGCATCCACTTGCTGTGCTTTTGGGTTTGTGCAATTCTGGGCTCAGGGGTGACGATTCCCAAGCAAATATACAAACCAGAAAGCTCTGCCAGGATACTGCATGTCGTGGAGTTAGCCCGATGCCCTCAACGCTGAGAGTGATTCTTCTGTGAGGCATTGTTATTGAAACAGCCAGCAGCTGTAATCAGCTCATCACACGGCATCTATAGGAATCCTACTGAGCCCTGTCTAACAATGACTCAAAGCAGATCCGCATAAAAGCAGGAGTCTCACAAAATGCTCTTAGCCAAGCCTTAGCGACACGTGACTTGGAAACGATGGCGCAAACCCGGGGACGCGGTGTCTTTGAAAGTTCAGCAAAGTCATGGACCCCCATTTCGAGCCTCGAGGCCATATTCATTTCTCATGACGAAGTTTTTGGTGGACGACTGATACTCCCGAGCAAGTTCCGCATATATCCTGTACAAATTCCTTACTTCTTTCTAGATCTCTTGCATCCACAATTTCTTCTAGTCCTGCGTTTCCTTACAGCCCCAAAGATCTCTTGCAGATCTTTTGCGGGGCGAAATTCCTTCAAATCTTGCAGCCCTCAACAAATGCTGGTCAAATTTGGTTGGAAACCATGCGTAAATGCTTGCTGCTGCCTGAAGCGTCTGATTTAGACCAACTTGCGAAGAGACCATCTACCTCAAACCCGTGATCGCCGGACATCCTTGTGTTCTGCTTCGTGCATGCAAGTGTTCCTGCAACACAGGACAGCCCCCCTAATTCTAAATGCAAAACGCTGTGAAGCTTTGCTTCTCTCCCGCCAGCAACCCAGGATTGCACAACAGTCCACTTTCTCGGTTCGGCTGGAAGAGGATCAGCACACGCTGTTGCTAGAATTTCGTGAGGGCAAAAAATCAGCAAGGAGTTTTCAAAGCTTGTTAGCTATGTTTTTGGGTAGCGGTTCAACTTGACTTGGGTGCAGCTACTGACCTCTGGGCGCAGTGTGCTAGTCATAGGGAATTTTGGTGCCTTGACATGCCGACACCCAATTTTGGGGCTGCTCAGAACGAATCCTGGTGTAGGGTTGCACGGCATCAGACCTCGGAAGTGCGCTAAAGCCAATGAGGACCTCCAACATTGCTGAACCAACGAATTTGGTGGAACAACAGCTTGGCGGTTGAACCTCTGACCTTTCATTGCCGAGGGCGGAATGTTATCGCAAGTTTTGGTCATCTGACAGATCCATCCGAAGTTGTGTCAGAATGAGCTATGAAGCCTCGCGACGTCCATGCCACAGCCCTGTTGCAGGACCTCTACCAGAAGAAGGCGCAAGCGCTCAAGGCTCATTCATGGATTGCATACTGATTAAACAGCCTGGCAGGGGAGGTCTCTGATGGCAGCTGCTATAGCTGCAAGAGATGTAAAGGTTTAATCTCAGGGCTTGGAATCTTGGATTATGGTCCAAAGCGTCTTCATTTATTTAACAACATGATCCACAGCCTCGGGACGGAAGACGTCAGGCTGCCGACGTTCAGGTAATAACAGGTAATAAGTTAAATTTTCTTGACAGAAGCCGAACTGCTTGGGCTGGAGTGTATTTGTACTGAGTGGTGGCCTGTGTTTTTGCGAGATCTTCTGGGATTCTGGACCATATCATTTGGGCAGTAAAGCATGCCCACCTGAATATGAAAACATGTGTAGGGCTACTACTGAACATATCAAGCTGACACCCAACTTTCTAAGTTTCAAAGCGTTTGACACGAAGGACGTATGGTAAACTTAGGAGTTCTTCAGAATGCGGCACTAGCTGCGCCAGCTGATGACATGAGGCCGCTAGGCTGAAAAATCAAAGTAATTGTGTGCCGTCCTCGCAAAGGAGCATAGTGTTGCATAGTCTTACAGGGATAAGATACTGTTTTGGGGCTCAGAGACATTGCCCCAACAATGGAAAATCAAATGGAAAAGAACATGGCGAATGAAATTAAAATGGAAACCACAACATACAGGGAGTATATAGGGAGATTATAGTTTCCCTAAATTAGGTATACATTTCTTCAGCTGGGGGCTGAAGGCTCAGAAAGCGGAGGGGCCCAAAAGAACACAAAAATCGTGTGAGAAAAGATGTCCATGACCCAAGACAAGGGGTTTGGCTTGCGTAGCATGACAGCAGGCTTGGGAAACCATGATATTGCTATATAATCCCTATATATTGTAGTTTCCATGTCATTTTCCATTCTCCTTTCCATTTGATTTTCCATCGCTGGGGAATAATTATCCCTAAGCCCGGCAACAGAACTTCTAGCCGAGCTGCGCAAGGAGGATCTTGATTCCTTCTTTGAAGGCTCCATCGAGGCGATGTGGGGCTTGCACCGTGCTTCTGGAACATGTGGCTATGTCTTAAAACGAAGACAGCTACTGATGTTTGGTCAGATACCTATATGCCATGTCTACATTTATTGTTTTTGCACTGGCACCCGATCTTTATCAATATACTCCGCACGCGTGATTCAAGCAAGCATGCCCTGAGTACAGTTGAAGCTGAACCGCTGCAGGTTATGTTGGTGGAAGTGCCCACGTTGTATGCCCTCGAGGTCCGCGTCATGCGCGACAAGCAGCAGCCCTAGCCAACTCAAAAGCTTCCTCAATCCAATTGTTGCAACAATACTAGTATAATCCTTGAGCCTTCAGTGCTCTGCATTTTCAAAGAATCTGTACATATCCAACAGATCTCTATAAGTTTCTATCCCTTCTTGGGTGACTTCCAAAGCCTGAAACCGCCCCACAGCCCTTATCAGCCTTAGACCCTTGCCAACGCCAAGCTCGCAGCACAGCGGATCAAAGGAAGGCTGAAGGGGCTGACTTCGAGCTCGGGAAACTCGCCGCTTGGCACGATGAGACCTGGATTGGGGATGTAAGTGAGCTTTCGAATTAAAAAAAGGCCTTAAGGGGGATTCCCACAATTTGGGATACATATGGTACTTGTGGCATGTGAGGGAGACCCCCTACTCGTCCGAAAATTCTCGAAGGAAATCTATCATCATGGTTTTGTTGTTGTTTTTTGCCCCGACTTCCTTTGCAAGGGTATTTTAAAATGTTGGATCTTGAGCAGAAGAAGCGTCAGTCCTACCCAGCAGCTCAGGAGCTCATGCAGGATGTCCGTGAAGCCTTTAAGCAGACAGTGGGCGAAACCATCCGTAGCCACCGGATTGGATCTGGAACCATTTTGGAGTGGAGTCAGCTGGAGGGGCTAGTATGTGTTGGGTCAGGTCCCCACCCACTAGTAGTGGTATATAGTTAGGAATATATACAGACCCTTACATACTTACCAATATCTCTGGTGATCACTATTAGCGGATTAGCGGGTAAGGGCCCAACACGGAATTCGTTTGTGCAGCCTTGGATTTGGGCAGGCGATGAGCTCGCCTCTGTGCTGCAGACCTGCGGGGTCGATGCTGCCTCGGTGGAGTTTCTGCTCCAACAAGCCCAACGCTTCACTGAGAACGAGGCCGCTTGGAGGTAAGAAGGGGGAAGGCAAGCAGCCGAAAGCCAAGAGTTAGGCATTTTCATCCCTTGTGAAGGTTGTCAGCGTGAGCGCCTTCTGCGACTCGCTTCTCCAGGCTCCACGGACACTTTCCTTAGGCAAGTCCGTGGCTCAGGTGAGTGGCGTGGAGACCTGGAATGCGCACGATGACGACCTGAAGCAGATTGCTGCGATGTTAAGCGGCATGTGTAAGGCCAACACAGTGCCGGAGGCACTCAAAGAGGTGCACGCACTCCTTTCGCTCGGCCATGACTTGTGGACATACGCCTACATGCGAAAGCTTTATGACCGCAGCCCCGACCTCTTCTACGCTACCATCGCAGAAGAGCCGGCCAAGCTGCTACCCGCAGTGTACACACCCACAGTTGGTGAGGCTTGTCAGAAGTTTGGCAAGATGCCGCAATACCGCCGCGGCTGCTACCTTTGCATATCCGACCGCGGTTACTTCAAAGAAGTGCTGCGTGAGTATGCCGAGGCAGAGCTTGAGAAGGACGCCGAGGGCAAGTACCTCTGCGACTGCATCGTTTTCTCCGATGGCGGCCGCATCCTTGGATTGGGTGACTTGGGTGCATGGGGTATGGGCATTCCTATCGGCAAGCTGGACCTCTACACTGTGTGCGCGGGCTTCAACCCCTCCCGAACAATCCCGCTGATTATTGATGCCGGATGCTCGGGACCGGAGGGCAACACTGACCGCCTGGTCATCCGGGACAATCCCCTCTACACGGGCATGAAGCAGGGCCGTGTGACACATAAGTCCCCGCAGGGAACGATTGTGAACACAGCATATTATGGGGAGGGGAATGTCATTGAAGAGTTCATGAAAGCTGCCACTGAGCTCTTTGGTCAGAAGTGTCTACTTCAGTTTGAGGACTTCAACTCCAACGATGCCTTCCCATTGCTGGCAGAGTATCGCAACAAGTTCTTGACTTACAACGATGACATCCAGGGCACTGCGGCGGTTGCACTGGCCGCCCTCCTAGGGTCGATGAAGCTCCGCGACCCCACCTGCAACGTGCGCGAGGCGCTCTTAAAACAGACGTTCCTGTTTCATGGTGCTGGCTCTGCCAACATTGGCCTGATGAAGCTGTTGAACGAAGAGGCTGGGGTGCCTCTGTCTTCCATCTTCGTTACCAACTCTCGCGGCCTGATATGGCGCTCTGAGGACGGAACCCACGGCAGCTTCCGTAACGGGGAGCAAAAGGCCTTTGCCCAGGTTGGCGAACCTGTGTTCGATTCCAAAAACCTGGCCACCTTGGTGGAGAATGTGAAGCCCACCTGCGTGGTGGGGGCTGTGGGCGTTTCTCCAAACTGCTTTACGAAGGCGATGATCGAGGCCCTCTTGGCCATCTCGAAGAGGCCTGTGGTTTTCGCCCTTTCCAACCCCAAGACTCAGGCAGAAATCACAGCCAGCGATGCCTACGAGTGGTCCAAGGGCAAGGTGATCTTCGGCTCTGGAACCTGGTTCGCCCCGGTAGAGCAGGACGGAAAGACATTTGCACCAGGACAGGTAAACAACGTCTATATCTTCCCAGGCATGTCCTTCGGCGCTGTCTGCTGCCAGGCGGGCGCATCCTTGAAACTAGCGGCAATATGTGTTTCCTCAGCTGGATCAGGGCACATGCGGGGCAGGGACATCTCAGTAGGTTTTCAGCACTCGTTGTCCGCCTTTTTGCTTTGCCAGGCCTCCAGCATCCCCGAGCGGCTCTTCCTCGCGGCAGCTGAGGCAGTGGCCAACAGCTTGGGGGATGAGGAAATGGCCCTGGACATGGTGGTCCCCAAGCGAGACCGCATCCAGGAAGTTTCCCTCAACGTGGCGTCGGCTGTAGTCTTGGAGGCACAGTCCATGGGCCTTGCAGGCCGCACCCTCGGGGCTGATTGGGCCACCGTGAAGTCTGCTTTAGACGGCATGCGGTGGAAGCCGCAGCCGTGAGATGTGCCCACGAAGTGGCGCATTCCGGTTTAGATTCCTTCTGGCGCCTGCACTGGTGCTCCAATGGTTTCACCAGGGCCGCCAAAGAGGGCAGACCTTGCCGCATCATGCGGCCAGAGTAGGCTACCTGTAGGATGGGACCATTTGGACGTTGTTGAAGAAGAGTGTAGTTGCGATCTATCAAACAGTGCCATTACTTTCGCCAGCCAATCTCTACACACCAATGGAGCAACTCAGGCATCACCCGAGGCATGGATCTGCTGTTTTTGGGGAGGACCTGCAGAACCTGATTGCCGTAGGATTTCTACCCCAAGAGATGAGCATCATGCTTATGAATCATTAACATTGTTGGTTCTGCTTTTTGCTTCGTAGGCTGAATGCTGGACTTGTTGTACTGACATGATCGACGTCATCCCCCGGCTTCGGTGTCAATGTGCTCCTTCAATCTCTCTGCAACCCCTTCCTGAGGCCAAGCCATCTTCCCTTGAACAACCAGCCTTCTCCAAGTAGGTAGGTGCAACAGAAAGTGTTGAGAAGGAGATGTTCCTCATTAGGACCTGATAAAGTCGCTCTCCAGGACGCATGTGCCCAGGGGGCGCAGACGCTTTTCTCCAAAGTGGCCAGCAAGTGCCTTTGGCGCAATAATTCATAGGCCGCTTTTGTTGAAGGATTCACGGGCTGGCCTGCAACGTCAGCGTAAGCATAATTATGGCAGCCCTCGCCTAAGGTCAGAAGGTCCTTGAGTCGCGAAATGCCAACACGCTGCCGTATCATTATGTTAGCTAGATGTGGTAACGAGCTTTTGATTAATTTCATGATAGAGTCCGTCTGTGAGAAGAGACCCGTCCACAGGGATCCTGCGCTATGAAGCCAGACACTACAGCCTATCCCTATGAACATTGGGCGCTCATGCAGTGCTGGAGAGTCATCTAAAGCGGCGGGAACACCAGAAAGTGGGCGGCGCTGAACAGCACTTAACAAGAACCGGTGTGGTAAACTTATGTAAGCTTCGCCCGGAATGCTCACCAGCACGGCATGTGATTGCAGGCCACATCCAGTGTGAAAGACTCTGCGCCATGCAGATTACATGTATCTGTCTTATTGTAGAGAAACAAAGAACCACGTGGAAATTCCCAGAACTGGGATTGTCCTCATGACCGAGCCCTTATTCTCGGAACCTCCCAAAAGGGACCCCCTGTTGCGAGAAACCTCTATGACAGGAAATGGCCCAAAGTCGAGGATCTCTACGAGCAGCTGAAGGCCTAACTTCTGCACGTGAGAGTCTTAGTTTGCGCGCAGGTTCAGGGGTTTACGAAAGAGGTCTGTGCCGTGATCAAAACTCTACACTATCAAATGCAGCGGCATCATCACTACATGGCTAGGTTTGCAAATCGTTTTTGCAAAGTTCTGATAACCCGTGGGTTCGTAGGCTCAAAGGCTTTGACCTGGGATCGGGCATTCCATGAGTTGAAGAAGAACAGGATTTGCTGAGCCCTTTTGCACTAGTGGCCGGAAAGCAACAGTGAAGAGCAAGCTCCTCATGGAAGAGCTACATGGAAAAAAGCATCTGCGCTTCAGGGCTGCATAGCCGTTCTCATCTATGCCAGCCCCAAGAGTTAGAGCACCTCCTTGACCTCAGCCTCAGACACTAGCATTCACGCCTTCAGCCCTTCGCGCTAAACCTGCAGGAGTTCACACGAATACCGGTTGGCTTTCGAGTGTGGGGACCTGAGTCTATGTGGCCCATCAGAAACACCCCACTCCTTATTTTAGGGCCCCCAAAATTTTCGGACCACCCCACTTCTGCTGTCATATTCACATGGCAATTGGGGAAGTAGAGGGAACAGGGGACCATGACGCCACAACAGTGTCCTGTCTAACGTGGGGCCTCGTCAGTCCTATTTGGACTGATTGGTGCAACCAAGATCTTCTGATGCACAGTATTGGCTCTCAAAGGCATGGTCCTATGTAGCACGGCCGCGGAATTTCTCCATGAGGCAGACACACAACGCCTAGCTTCGTCCATCCTCTTCCAGCAATTGGTTGCCCTGTTGCTGGGTCCGGTCCTAGTGTAGACATGCCATGCGGTCTAGGACTCCCTTTTTGAACCTGGTACTTAGATCACTAATTTAGATCCCTGATTAATAACCCCCCCCCCTTTTAAGGGCCATAATATTAGGATCCCCATTAGTATAATCCCTATTATGAGAAGGGGGTTTACTAATCAGTGAGGGGTCTATATTACCATCTGGCAGAGGCTTTGTACTGAGCTGCCGCCTGGTGTCAGTCTGCCTGGGCATGGCTTGGGGGTTGCAGATGCCAACAGCAAACAAGAGGCATGTGTGTGTGTGTGGGTATTTTGAAAAAAAAAGTCCGCTAATATTGCATAGTATGTAGCTAGACAGTTTTCTTCCTTAAGCTTTTGGAACCTTTATGTCCTGAGAGAATTTGTTGGGGAGGTGGACTTCCATGGGTTCAGTCTTCTCAATGAAGATGGTTGAGGGTTGTGACCTTGTATTCCAGCATCTACCTTGGGACGCTACATTGCGTAGTAGTTGATGGGTCAATATCTACTTGTAGAAGGTGCCTCGAGTCCAGACGTTGCCAGAAATCGAAGCAAGTGTCTTCCTGATGCACTGCCCAGTTGCCATCCCAACTTTGCAAGATATCACACAGGGGGCATGCGGACTTGATGAGAGGCTTACCTTCCTGATCCCTTCACTTCAATTTCTCAATGAAAGTGTTGAATCAAGAGAGCTCGCATTCAATACTCGAAGCCAATACTTATACTTGAATCCAAAACCTGAATCCTAAATCCTAAGCCGCATCCCTAAAGCAATGTGGCTCTGTAGCATGCCAGGTGCCACGCCTATCGAAGGCCCAGGCCAGCAGGACCAGTAAGTTTTTGGGAGGCATTCCTATGGATCATCCTTTTGCATATCTTCCCCTCTTACGCTCGCGCATGGGCCGGAAACCTTTGATTTTCTTTTCAATTTCTAGCTTGAAGGGTGCTCCCAGCTGCAATTGTCTCTTCTAATGCTTGGTTGGGGCTTGGGGCGTGTTTCCATAAGTCCGCGATAGCAACAGCATGATTATGCATGATTGTGAGTGCATGCTTAGTATGGTGTTCCTGATTTGTTTAGCTACGAATTAAGAAGAGAAAAAGGGAACTCAATTCAACAGACCCCTGCACGGCCTGGCCCATGCACTGTCTAGTCGTTCATGTTGACGGGATTGCTGCAGTTTACGAAGTGTCAAGAGCTCTGTTTAGATGCCCAATTCGCAAACGAAAGAATCAGTGATCCCATTGATCTCACAGCCATTTCCCCGCGACAAGCTTAGTGCTTTAGGACAGCCATCTGTGCCCGGGACAGTGTGCCCTTAGCAACATATGCGACTTCCCTGGACTTGCTTGTTGAGAATCTCCCCATACCTACTGTTTCTTAAGACAATGATCCGATGGTTTTCGATTGGCCGGAAACTAGCACTTCTTCCAAGCTACCGAAAATGTGCACCTATGAGAAGTCAAAGACCCCGCTAGCTTTTGGCACCATGGTGCCCTCTCCGGCATACTGGCACAACGTCATTAATGCTGACAGCTCACGACGGCCAAGCCTTTGTTGGAGCTGCTCGCCAAAGCTGGTGAGATCCAGTTGATGGATTCAGCATAGTTCGTATCTTTCCGCAAGCCTGAGCGGGAGCGCAGCGCGCACCACGTGGCTGCGCAGAAGGACTATGCCAAGTTGGTTCAGATGTTGCTTGATGTTCGTGCTGACCGCGGTACATGTACCAGCAAAGTAACAACTCCCCTCCGCCTGGTGCGTTGAAACGACCAGGTCGTATGCGTGCTTCTCTCGATTGGACCCAAATCAAGTGAAGTGGCATCCCTCCAGCAGGCTCTGTCTGACTTGTTGGAATTTACCGTGAACTTCGCAAAAAGAAAATATCAGAGACAACTCCAGCTTTGCAAGCTTTGGCCGCAACAGGCATGAGTCATTCAAGGACCCTACATCTACATGACTCAAAATTTGACATCCAAGACCCCGCCTGCCATCATAATCCTGATTCACTGCCAAATTTTAGCAGTTTTCGGAATTTGTCCGTGTCATTTCGGGGTTGGTGACTTGAATGTTGAAGATGCCCATATACTTCCTCGAAGTCTCTGTCATCCCTGATAGTGTACGTACCCATCACGCTGGTGAAGGGCAATTTGTTGATGTAGGTGTTCTGCAACAAAATCCGTACATGATCCTTACCAGGCCTAAGAGGACAGTCCAGACCCCCTTCTAATCCCAAGCACTCCCTTTTTGTGAAGCCCTAAACTGCATATTTCTGCCACCATTTCAAAAAAGGTTCATGGGCACCCGCAGTTTGAGAGACTCTCACGTCGTAGTTTCCAAGAATGAGCCTTCCCGTACATACCCCAAATCAGAATATGATCCATAACATCAGGATTCCAAATATGAAATCCTCCCTAGCCACCTCTAGCCACTGCTTGAGGTGACAAGTCTGGACCCCAGATTTTGGCGTTGTATAAGTCACTGAACAGTCTTGGGGTGGTGGGGTGTGGGGGTTTTGGGACTTCAAAGTTGACGGCACCATGCATTGCTTTGGATGTAGGAAGTACCGGGGCTTGTGGTGCGGGAGTCGTCGCAACATGAGCCAGTCATAGACCAAAACCTTCTAAGAATAATTCAGACTTCGAATTTCACGTTGGAAAGGGAGTTTGTTCAGCGCATACTGAGTGATGTGTCCTGGGATGAATTTTACGAATTATTAAGAATCACAATAGAAGTGGTAACAGTTTGTGTCTCCATCCCTTTTCCTGAGGCTCTATCCCCTGGAGAACCTGATCTTCAAGGTGATCCATAGCACGGGGCAGGTGCACGGTACCAGCATCTTCATGGTAGCATTGCCGGCTCCAGGTGGGTGAGGCTAGAAGGCACGATTTAATTTCACTTGCTGGAATTGCCATTGTTGGCCGGGGTTTTTCTTAAAGG